AAATTATTAAATTATATATTTTATTAATTTAAGGGATCATAAAGCGGGTCATAATTTCGATCTTATACGATCTCATACGCGTACCATAAGCAGTATCGATAAATTACCGACTAAACCGAAGAAGCTCTCATTAATATGGTTTGCAAGCCTATGGCGTATTGATAAATAGACCTTGTCTAACGCATAAAATACTTCAGTAACAGTAACAGAAAATAACCCCCTGATAGCAATATACCACCTGCACTTTTTCTAATAATATTCCATCTATTTTAATATTCTGATCCTTGCTGTTATTTCCGATATGCCTTATTTTTGTTTTCTTTTCTTCATACTAATTCCTTTTAACGCTTTGTTCCAGGTGCTTTCGCTTTATAGTTTATCTCACTCATTCTTTGAAAATATTTTCCAAGTTATCAGCAAAAGCTCATTCCTGCCTGCATTTTATTCATCAGAGGTCTTGTTTCTTTAAAAATTTCTTTGATCCATCATTATGATAAATACTAGAAGACATAGTGCACCATCTTGTCTTGCTAGGTAATGAACTCATCACTATTAACAGCATTTCTTCATACTATCTATACTATCTACCTACTCCATCAAACACTTTTTTTCGGTCTAAGGATAGGTATTATACATGCCTCTAAGTCTTCGGGTTCATCATCTTTTCAGTTTGTTTTATTGTGAATATTTGATCCTTGAAAGGAAATTGAAAATAATGCTGACCAAAGGAAACATTACATATCTACTGTCAGAGTCTGAAAGAAAAATACAAGGAGAAATAAGATTAAGAATCCAAACAGAAAAGGAAAAGGAAAATCACGTTAAGATGGGCGACCAAAAATGGTTTTGTATTAAATGGGTTTGGAACAATTCGGAAAAAATTAAAAGAAACTGAAGGGCACGCACAGTCAAAACACTAACAAAAGAAACGAAAAGATGTCGAACAGGTTTACAAATGGCACCAATCACAAGAATACGGAACTACGGATGTGTCGAACATGTAAAGGAACACTTAAACAATCCAGCCATAACACAAACGAAGAGAAAAGGAGATTAGGGAACAATACAGAATATAAGATTGTTATAATAAAATAAGTATTTTATTTAAAATGGTATTACTAACAAATATAGGATCCATTTTTCACCTGAAAACCTCTTCTTTTAGTTTTTTTATGTAGGAAAATTTGGTCGGAAGGCTTCATCTATTTTCAAAGTCATGAGCTGCCAGTGTATATACCATGTTTATATGATAAATAAATTATATTGGGTATTAATATTCACGAAACTTCTTCAAATAAATAGGAAATTTATTAGGCACAGTATTATTTGAAATTATTAATTAGGTATTTTACAGTTCTTTTCTTATACAAGTCTTATGGTTTCCCCCGCTCCTTCTATCAGTAAAAATAAGTAAAAAGGGAACCTCTCCTCCATACTCTATGCCTGTAGCATTTTAATAATGAAATAGAAAAAAAAACATGGAAGAGATGTTTTTTTATACAATAAAAAATTTGAAATAATTGTCATTGAATACAGTTTTACAGTAAAATAATATAAGATTTGAAATGAGTGTTCAAAGGGTAGCACAAAAAGCGGACCCAGCGCAGCTAGCAGCCAACATTGCATAACCAGAACTATAAACCTTCTTTAAATCTAACATGGCACCCATGTCCCAGAAGAAGTGGCGCAAACCGTTTGACAAATGATAACTAAGGGGGAAACTTAATATAAATTTCAAGACAATAATTAAAATAGCCGGAAAATTCACTCCATGTAAAAATTCTATAAACTGGGGTAAATCGATAACATGAGAGCCAAATGCTAGAATCCACGTGTATACCATTAACCATATACCTAAAATTGAAATCAAAATACAAGTGAACGATTTATCTCAATTATAACAAACACAATAACGTTTAAATACATTGAAAATGCTTAAAAGAAAAATATCTGAAATATAACATATCTACGGTAAATCATCAACTCATAAATACTTATTATCATCATCATTTATTTCAATCACTGTATAAGTGAGTAAGTAATAATGTCGGTACTAATTCCCATGCATGGTGCTAGCTTATAGGTAGGTGTGCAAAGGAAATTGTTGCAGCTGAGGTAGCCAGTAATAAGATATTTTATAAAACTTACGTATTCTTGAGTAGGATTACAATTTTGTACAGTTACGTCATCTTTCATAATTTAATACACCCCATTGCCTCTAAACAACTTTAATACTTTAACATTACGATCTTTGCAAATTTCGATTTTATTAAAACGAAAATTTCGATGAAAAACATTCTAATGGGGACGAGAAAGTAAAACCACGTAGGAGGTAAAATCCTTTCCTAGTAGGGACTAAATGTAATTGATTGATATATAACAATCATACTTGCTATCAAGAGTAACATTAAACTATTACACCTCATCTAGAAGAAAATATTAGAAAGATACGAAATACCTAGTAAAATTGAAAAAGAAATAGCATTTAATAAAACCTCGATCAACTAGATTTTGTACTTAAACAACTTCCTCCTAGACCCTAAGTTATAATTTAGTTATATCACCGGGAGTATAAATTTCATAGTTCGAAACTTGGTATACGACAGCGGCGGACTAGGGGGATGCCGGACGGGGAGGCCCGCCCCTTTCTTTAGTCCTGGGGAGAGCTTTAAATTTGGAGAAGTCCTTTTTCATGAAATCCCAAACAAGGCCAAAATACGTTTAGTAAGTACAAGAGCCTATTTGGACTTTAGAGTTGGAAGCCCCATACGTATGAAAAATATAAATCTTTCCAATTACTTCCTAGTGTCTTAGTCCGCCGTTGACTTCTGATGAAGTCCTAATAAGGCGAAATGTATTTTGAGCGGCGAGTATTATCGATATTTTATCTACATAATTTATAAAATACCTGTAGTTCGGTGAGCGAGCGATAACATGCTTGTTAATTGAGTTTTATATATCGACAAATGTGGGGACATGGGCCTTCCGAGTCTCATATTTCGGTCATCGTGATTCTCGGGGACAGCGTCACATTGGCTTGAATGAGGACTGATAACTTTAATTGTTATTGTACGAACTGGTATTGGAGCTAATAATTTTTTACATTGGTACTCTACTAAGACAGGTAATCTTCGAAATGCGGATCTAAAAAAGCAATGGATATTAGTTCAGTTTCGCACAGTTCTTTTTAATATTAATATATTGTACAACCTCAGCATAAAGTTCATTGTTATTAAATAAAAATAAATTAGAACTGAAATGCAAATACTTTTGACATAAATTGTCAAATGAAATGGGAAATAAAACAAGAGCGGACCTTCTATATAGAAAAGGAGAAGTCGCCGATCTATTAAATACTTTTGAAAAAATTGATTTATTTTTTAAAACCTTCTATTGTTGTATGTAGTAATCATGTTATTGATTCTTTTCCACCAGAGTATTTGAACAAGCACGTATATTAAAATTATAATAAGGAAATAATACACAAATACCTATTTAAATAAATATTTTAATCTAATCGCAAGGTATTATATTACTAAATTACTTCAATATAAGGTCATGTTACACGCCGCCGTGAAAAGAAGCCAAAGAAACCGCTAGGACGCATCTATCCGCTCCAGGCGGCGCCGAACTCGTTACACGGAGAGAACATTGACAATCCACGCGCCATGTAATAAGGACTTTACACGACGCGTGGAGCGGTAATCCACGCACCCAACCCATTACTTCACGCGGTGATTTTCAAACCGTGCTCCATGTAACGGGGTCGGCGCGGCTTGTAATGTGAAGGAATGTCCTGGTGCGTTATTTTTCGAGCGTCGTAGGTAAATATAAAAATTAATGTGCCTGTGGTTATCAAATCTTATCATTATAAGGTCGTCAGTCCTAAGACTAGTTGGACACGCACCTCCACTCTTTCCTATCCTAGGCTAATCTTCGCATTTCCCTAAAACTAGAACAACCCACATCCTTAACTATTTGCGAACAGTAATCTAATCTAGGTCCACCTCTACCCCTAACTCCCGTTTATGCCTCTAATATGTCTGTGATTAGACCTTCATGCTTGAGAAGGTGTCCTACTAACCTATCTCGCTTTTTTCTTATTGACTCCTATAGAGTCCTTTGTTTTCCTATTTTTTGTAATACCTCTTCATTTGTAACTTTATCTATCCACGGTATCCTTATCATTTGTCTGTAACACTACATCTCTAATGCTGTCCATGTTTCGCAACCGTACAGCGCCGCACTCCAAACATACGTCTTTAACAACCTTTTTCGAATTTCTAAATTAAGTGTTCACGAGCATATAAGTGATTTCTTTTTAATTTAAGGCGACACGACACTGTGCTATCCTCTGCTTTACATCCCTATTACCACTTCCGTCCCAATTGATCTGACTTCGTAGATACCTTAAAAAAGGTCACTTCTTCTAATTTTTCATCTCGCTCTTTCCCTACTTACCCTTTTCTTGCATACCAGTATTTTTATTTTACTTTTATTTATTTTTATACGGTACTATTTTGTCAATACGGCTTCCGTTTTATTTAAAGATATCTCTAACTCCTCCTTGCTAGATGCTTATACTGCTATATCATCTGCAAATCTAAGCATACTAATCTTTTGCCTTTGTATATCTATCCCTACAGTTGTACTGTCTTTAACGATGTTTATCGCGTCTTCAATATATAAATTAAAAAGTAGCGGTCTCAGTGTGCATCCCTGGTCTGAATCCCTTCTTAATATTTACTTCTCTACGTTGCAGCCCCAGCTCTATAACTGCCTGTTGCTCTTTGTACAAACTAAGTATCTCGCTTCTATCTCTGTAAATCATCCGTACATTTTTAAGTATATTTAACATCTCGTCCCATTTAACATTGTCATAACGCGTCTGCCAGCTTCATACCGGACCCGTCGATAATTCACGCTCCATGGAACAGGGTCCTGTTACACTACGCGTGAATCAGCAATCCACGCGCTCTGTAGCAGGTGTTTAATTAAAAAGCCAAAAAAGTAATTCGGGTACAATCAGTTCATCAACCGCAAATTACAAATAATTAATACAAAATCAATAAAACAAAAAAAGAAAAACAAATGCACAGCAGAATTTAATTAACCTGGCTTCTCTTGACCTATTTTTTAGTCGGTACCTATTCACGTAAGTTTAGACCGAAAAAAGAATGAAAGGTAGAAGGAGCCAACGGATTATTATTTAATTAGTCCTTCCTACTTGCACACATCTTCCCTTACAGAACATATCATTAAATATTCTTATAAACAAGCAACAGACAGTTAATAAGAAAGAAAGTATTTTTTCCGTAATCAAACATGCGTGCCACTTTGTCAAATTGGGCCCTCAGATACATTATTAATCGTATAGGTATACATTAAAGGTTTGTGTGTACAGAATATTACCTAGCAACTGTAAATATAGTAAACTTAGTTGATCATTTCTACTACATATTATTTCATCGTCTTCATATAATTGATACACCATCGCAAAATGTGTTTTTTTAGAAGCGTTTTTATAATTTTCGTAACGTGCTCTTGTTTTACTAAATACTGCTTAGCACAGACAACACAAAACATTGTTGTCCGTAAGTATTCAAAAAATTCGAGTTGATACCTAATTAAAAATGAAAAATTTAATTCGCGGTTTTAGTTTTTGTAAATGAAGAGGGAAATGTAGTCGCTGATAAAGCGGTCGATGTTGCTTTAAACTACATAATTAAAAATAACAAATTGGGATTGAAAGTGGATATGCAAAAGGTGGTTGGAAACAGAACAGACGCAAAAGGATTGTTGGCTTCACGTGAGTTTTACTTTGTAATTAACTAATTTAGAAAATGCGTAATACAAACTCTCAGTGGATGGTTCTGAGATAATTGAGGCAATGCAATATAAAAAGTTGATTGCTTTTTAATTTTCATGATTCAATTTTTTAAACGGTCCCACCTGCTGGGCACCAGGACTTGAGCATTGCTTGCATCATCTTAATAAATTCGCCTCTGGTTGAAACATTTTGCGCGTCCAAACTCGAAAATTGGTTAAAAAGGCACCGAAATGATGAATCATTTACTTTGATTTCTGAAAAACACATTTTTGTCAAAGAAGAAGAAATGTGTTCTAAACCTTAGTTAACAAATTTTTACTCACTCCATACCTAATACCCAAAATACATATCATATATGTTTCTTTCATAGAATTTCCCGTTCTTTCGTACGGCACTATTAGTTTTCACGTACAAATAAAACAAAAAAGCATATTTTTGCTCTTAAATTGTTAAATAACAATAGGACGTGGGCACTTTTTTTTTCGATAGACTTTTCACTACGTTATTACTTAGAGGAACGCGGGAGGTCATTCTACATTTACGGGTAACAATAGAGAAAACGATAGAAAAAGGAACGAGTGCCTACATAGAATTACTTAGTAGATTTAGAAGATTTAAAAAAAGCTTTTGACAATGTTAAATGGGAAAAAATGTTAAATATAGTTAAAAATGTAGGGATGAGTTACAGAGATAGAAGAGTTTGTATAAAGAGCAACAGGCAGTTATAGGGCTGAAACTGCACCGTAGAGAAGTAAATAGTAGGAAGGGTGCCAGACAGGGATGCACAATGTCACCGCTACTTTTTAATCTATACATCCAAGCCATTATCAAAATCATTAAAGACAGTACAACTGTAGGGATAGATATACGGGGCCAAAAGATTAGTATACTTAGATTTGCAGATGATATAGAAGTACTAGCATCTAGCAAGGAGCAGTTAGAAATAGCTTTAAATAAAATGGAAGCGGTATTGACAAAACAGTAATGTATGAAAATAAATAAAAGTAAAACAAAAATAATGGTAAAAATAAAAGGAGGGAAAGAGCGAATATAAATATAGGAGACGAAAAATTAGAAGAACTGGTTGATTTTAGGTATCTAGGAAGACATATAAGTCAGGACGGAAGGAGTAACAGGGATATAAAGCAGAGGATAGCGTAAGGTCGAGTCGCCTTCAACAAAAAAAAGTCACTTCTATGCTCGCGAACTATTAATTTAAAAATTCGAAAAAGATTGTTAAAGATGTATGTTTGGAGTGCGGCACTGTACGGGTGCGAAACATGGACGGTGAGCACGGCGGAAAAGAAAAGATTAGAAGCGTTCGAAATGTGGTGTTACAGGCGAATGATGAGGATACCGTAGATAGAGAAAGTTAGAAATGAAGAGGTATTAGAAAGAGTAAGATAAATCATTGGAGAACAGAGGACTCTATGGAAGTCAATAAAAAATTCAAGCATGAAAGGATAGTCAAAGGCATATTAAAGGAAGAAACAGTAGTTAAGAGGAATAGAGGCGAACCTAGATTAGATTACTGTTCGCAAATAGTTAAGGATGTGGAACGTTCCAGTTTTAGGGAAATTAAAAGATTAGGTCAGGATTGGATAGAGTGGAGGTGCGTGTCCAACCAGTCTTAGGAATGACGACCTTATGATGATGAAATCTTCTAAAAGGCAAGAAAACATACGAAGAAGTTTTGAACTTCTCATTGAATTGTGGTGAATCTAATTATTGATGCTGTTCTGATTCGGGTCTAAAAGCCGTCATAGGTTGCAGTTGCTTACTAACATTTCGCTAGCACGAGATGCAAACTTCTTCAGAGGTTCTTTCATCTGCAATGCTGTCCACATCCAACTCTAACCGATGACAGTCTTTAGATCTGAATCACGACAGCATTAGTTCTTCTGCTATTACGAGGCGTAGTCTAAAATTCGAAAACGTCACGTATCAATAGGTATCTTTAATTAAAACCACATGGAGTACTTATATGTATTATAATAATTCTTAAGTAATTAAACCGAAACTTGATAATAGGTATGGAATACTGTTTAGTGCACATCCGACATGAAGTTGATTTATAATTACGTACTGTCCACCTGTCTGATCAGTTTGGATCGATTTTCTTGTTACCTTCCCAGTACATCCACCATAATAGTAATAACCTTTTATACAAATGGTCATGTCATTTGCTGTGACAGTAAGTAATTGAATCTAAATTATTTTTCAATTCACTTACGCATACCAACTGTACCTTATTTCTGTCAGAACTAATTGCATGTCAGGTCTTTTACTAACAAAACTATTATCTGAAAAAACAGTATTTAACCATTGACGTCCTTGTCCTTATTTTGATATGAAAGGACAAGGGCAATAAACAAGAATAGTTAATAAGTATTATTTATTCAGGTACCACTTAGGAAAAAGTTTTATACAAACATGTTTTACGCTCATTCTCCTATAAAACTATACAAATTCTAGGCATACCTGTGGAAAAGTATGAAAGGTATATATTCCAGTGGCATAAATAAATAATCTATCGTGGACTGTCTTCCTAAAATGACTCAAATAAATTTAATTGTACCCTCCCAAGACGACTGATCACCGTGGGAGTGCCAGACCAAAATCCTCCAGAAATGTATAATTCGTTATTCAAATAGTCAAACTTATGTTTTACAGCCACATATAATGTAAGACCTTTATCGTCTCATACACACCTTCAATAACTGTTGGAGGCGCTGAAAAATGTCAACTTCGACATAATCGGCCTATGGGAAACAAGGCGAGACACCAGGATTATATGGTGTAGGATTCCCATTGAGAAAAGTCTAAAAAACTACATTGAAAGTTTTATTGGTCTACCAGAGCGAGTTGCACTTTTGAAACTTAACATAAATGGATTTAAAATAAATTTTATACAAGTATTAGACCTAGAAACAGATGAACAGAAGACATTATAAAAGCCGCTGGAAAATTATGGATGAAAAAATCCACAGATAGAGAATATTGCGCCTCATTCTCAACTGAGAAGGGTTCACTACAAATATTTAATATTAATTAATTAATATTATTAACCACAACTATTTGTGAACAGTAATCTAATCTAGATCTATCTCTACTCCTCTTAACTCCTGTTTCTAATGGGCGCTGATGTGATGTTCAATTTTTTTTAACAGATCTATGATTGCTGATGCTGCCTGGCCTAAGGACATGAATTACATTTCGTGCGATGATTATAACGAAAAAAATTCACCCGTGCGTAAGGATCTCAATTTAAAAGAATATTTTGGAAAAGTACGTTTACAACTCCTACGACTTAGAAATACGGCTATGTAATATTTACATGGTAATTCTAGGATTCAAGCGAATCTCCAACTTACGGTCCATTAACTGTCACACGAAACGGTGAGAGTTATATGGAATTTCAAATGATGCTCAGTGCAGTTGGCGTTCGAGACGGTTCATCAGATAAGTCAGCTTATTTAGGAACTTGGAAGGCAGGATTTGGAAACTCGCTGCAACTTAAGGAGCCAGAAATTATGAAGAATTATTCGGCAGATACTGTGTACAGAATTGTTACTGTCGTTGTAAGTAAGGGCTAACGCCTGTTTGCAACTTTTAATTGCACAATACGTGTTAGCACAATCGCATTGTTTTGTGTTGTGAGACGAGATTGTGAAGGAATCAGGAAGGCTGTTTCGTTCCTTCATGCTATGTAACAATTGCTCGTCCAGCTGCATTATTATAGCAGAAGTTCAACAGGTAGCAACTCGATAGACGCATTCAAATTCATCAAGCGAAGGTTTGACAGATATTTACTGTATCATGTCTTAATTACTGAACGAACATAGATGAAGGGAAATTACTTGAAAGGAGATTACAAAGGTTGTAAAGAGGAACTGAGAAACAAGGTATACAAGGCTTACACGTCCTGTTTGATTTGAACTTAACTAGCGTCCAAAGCGGTAACGCATTCTACTGTCCGTGTATTCAAGGTACTCGGAACGTTTGTCCATAGGTCCTAAAAGATATAGTACCTACCTTGTGGATATTCTCGACCTCTGTATCATATAAAAATACTTTTGGGTGTTTCATTCCCACCAGCCAGTAATGCTGGTGGGCGGGCAGTCCCTCCGGACTACGCCGGAAGGTAGGGCGGAAGGCCCTCTTCAGNTAAAATAAATTTTATACAAGTATTAGACCTAGAAACAGATGAACAGAAGACATTATAAAAGCCGCTGGAAAATTATGGATGAAAAAATCCACAGATAGAGAATATTGCGCCTCATTCTCAACTGAGAAGGGTTCACTACAAATATTTAATATTAATTAATTAATATTATTAACCACAACTATTTGTGAACAGTAATCTAATCTAGATCTATCTCTACTCCTCTTAACTCCTGTTTCTGGCTTCCAATAAGTCTCTAACTAGTCCTTCATGATTGAAAAGGTGTCCTGCCAACCTATCTCATCTATTTCTTATTCTATTCTGTTTATTAATAATAATACACACTGTAGTGTTCCACGCTTCGAACACATTATATGCAGGCTGTCTGAATGCGAATATGGAAAAGCTACTTCAATGCGCCCTCACAAATACCGCTATTTTTTTTTCGTTTTCGTGAAAGAGGAAAAATCTTCAAAAGACACCTAACCCTCCTTACGACTGGGTAGTATCGCCCTCAGACTTACCAACTAAAAAAGCCGTCTACCTCAGACCCTTCTAGGAACATGTAAAGTCCTCAAATGTCTAAACATGCCAATGCAATTTTGGTGCGTGGAACAGACTAATAAACGTCAAAAGTTTTCTAGTTCGTAGGTGATAGAGTTTACCATTTAAAATGTTACTCTTCATCTTTCGCCCACACTATATCCCAAATAAATTGGGCACCCTAAGAAAAATTACAAATTAAAAGTTGATAGGCATTTTCCTTTAGGATTTGGGTGTTAAACCAAGTTATGAAGAGAGTTGCAGTAGGATGGACTTAATTTAACTTAATTTTTTTTACTAACGCATTGTGGTGTTCAAGGAAATAAGTCTGATGAGTACCTACATAAAATACATATTATAATTTGCAAATTAAAAAAGCAAAGCATACAAGTTTCTGTAATAAATATTTCTTGTATTTTTTTTGCAAGATTCGTCGTCTTTTCCAGTTGGAATAATTGGAGTATTCCACTAATTTAATTCAAATATTCGTCTGATTAATTTTCAATAATCCGACTTATATATTCTTCATCATCATCATGAGGTCGTCAGTCCTAAGACTGATTGGACACGTACTTCCACTCTTTCCTATCCTAAGCTAATCTTCGCATTACACCAAAACTAGAACATTCCACATCCTTAACTATTTGCGAACAGTAATCTAATCTAGGTCTATCTCTACTCCTCCTGTTTCTGCCTCTAATATGTCTCTCACTAGACCTTCATGCCTGAGAAGGTGTCCTACCAACCTATCCCGCCTATTTTGTATTGACTTTCATAGAGTCCTCAGTTCTCCTATTCTTTCTAATACCTCTTCATTTCTAACCTTTTCTACCCACGTTATCCTCATCATTCGCCTATAACACCACATTTCGAAGGCTTCTAACCTTTTCTTTTACGCCGCGGCTACTGTGCATGTTTCGCACCCGTACAACGCCGCGCTGCAAACATACACCTTATACTTATATATTAACTCAGCTATATTCTATTTCCAATTTTAAATAATAGAATATTCAAAGAATTCGACTATGATTCCTGACACCTTAATTAGGTTCAATATCTATAACATGAAATAATTTTTATACTAGGCTAGTTAATCGTGTTTAGGACATGACTTTTACAATATTTGTCATGACTCTGAAGTAAAACCTAAAATTTACCATCTGCATATTAGCAAAAGTACGAAACTACTACCGTACCTACAACAGTTCACGGTTTTATCGACACCGTTTGCCGAAGTTTGATTTTGCTGAAAAACCTTTTTCCAATTTTTATAGTTGATAACATTTAACGTTTATTACTTTCAGTATGCAGAGCTTATCAAGGTATGCTCGACGTGAAGCAGCCACCTCACTTGGTGCTTGATACAACGGTAACAGGAATGGCTTCTGAAACGGTGAAATATTTCACCGCCGCCCTGGCTCTTCCAACGGTCACCGCTTCCTTCGGCCAAGAAGGAGACTTGAGGCAATGGAGAAATCTAGACGAAGATCAAGAAAACTATCTGATTCAAATAATGCCACCAGCCGACCTCATACCTGAGTTGATAAGATCGATTGTGGAATATCAGAATATTTCTAACGCCGCCATAATATTCGATGATTCTTTCGGTAAAAATAACATCAAGAGAACAAAACAATTTGCTTATTGCATTCAAGAAAATTCCTCTATTTAATACGAGGGCTGATCCCTGGTCTATTTACAATAAAAAAAAGTTATTTTAAATTTATTTTTCTACATAGGGTCCATTAGGGTCAATACTTTTTTACCATATTTAACTCTCTTCTCGGAAAAAAGGTACTTCAGTCTCGGAAAATCACTTTATCTCGCAAAAATCGTTTACCACGTCAAAACAGTTAGTAACCAAATTTGACGAAAATAGAGGCCCGTCTTAGTTACTGTAGCTCCTGTAATGACAAATATTTGACTGGGTGAATTATCCTGTTGCATGAAGACACCTATGCGTAACTTCGCCAAAGTTCTTCTTTTATTAATTGTTGTTAATTAAATTGGCATAATATCTATATTTCTCCAGGAAATATTACACCTTCAGAATCCTGAAACACAGGTAATTTTATCTTCCTTGCTGATGGTTGCATCTTCGGTGGTGGAGAGCCTTGATGGATCCATTCCTTATTTTGTATTTTGATCTCCACATCGTAATGAAGGATCAAGACCTAATCCAGCTTTACAAAAATGTTCTTTATCTTGTCTAATCGCAAGTATTTACCGCTCGTTGTTTAACACGTTCTATTTTGGTAGTTTTGTAAGGCTCTCCCAAAATTGATCGTCTATTATAGGTAGGATTTAACAGGTCCAAACTTTTAATTTTGTAGTATTACTCTGTATATAACAAGCTACAATATGACGTGAAAACAAATAATTATTTCGATTTATAATTGAGTCAAGGCTGGAGCAAAGGGGTCAACCCTCGTATTCAAGAATACAGATATAACAAAATCTATTCAGAATTATTACTTTCTTTTCTGATTCTTTTTCGGTTCTCCGTAGTAGTGCCCTTAAGAAAGGCCCACTAAAGGTGCTATGGCTGATTCAAAACTAAAATACTGAAATTTCTAGGTATCCTAATCTGTTTAGATTTTGAAGTTAAGATATCTCAAAATATTGATATGAGGCCAGATTCGAATTGAGAGATAAAAGCTATTCTCTAAATTGTTTTGCCCCTTTTTTTTAAGCAATTATAATCTCAAAAAGGACAGAAACTGCATTTCTTGAGTCAGAAGACTTCGATATCTAAAACTCTTGACGTGTTTCACTTTTTTTTTGTTAAAACCATCTGCGAATACATTTGGAGATACATTTTGTAATAATTTTATACATTTTCGTTGTAATAATCTTATTGCCTTATTTTGAAGTTCTATTTACTGAATATCACAATTTACTTAGTAATGGATCACAAATACAAGTCACTACTCCAGAATGTAGCAACAAGGCACATTATAACGCAAATTGACGATCGTAGTACGAAAGAGCAATTGCAGAATTTAAGAAAGCTTGACATGATGAACTTCTTCATATTGGGGAATTTGTTGAACATACAGAGAGTTCTGGACTCGGCGAATTCATTAGAATATTTCAGTCGAAAGTACGCTTGGCATGCCCTTACTCAAGACAGAGGGGATATGAAGTGTAACTGCAAAAATGCGACGGTCATTTTTGCCAGACCATTCGTTGATAATAGATTTCAAGATCGATTGGGATTACTAAGAACTTCTTATCAACTCAATGCAGAACCCCAGATATCCAGTGCATTTTATTTTGATTTAGCTCTTCATTCATTTATTGCGGTAAAGTAAGTACAATTATATTTAAAAGTACATCTTTATTTAATTTATGACTTTTTGTTAGTAATCAGACGAATGAAGTAGCTTATTAGAAGGAGTGCTTTTGCTTTCACAACCATTATCTTTTTTATAATTTTAAAACAGAATTTTGCTTTTCTTCTTTTATACATCTAACCTTTTCTTTTACGCCGCGGCTACTGTGCATGTTTCGCACCCGTACAACGCCGCGCTGCAAACATACACCTTATACTTATATATTAACTCAGCTATATTCTATTTCCAATTTTAAATAATAGAATATTCAAAGAATTCGACTATGATTCCTGACACCTTAATTAGGTTCAATATCTATAACATGAAATAATTTTTATACTAGGCTAGTTAATCGTGTTTAGGACATGACTTTTACAATATTTGTCATGACTCTGAAGTAAAACCTAAAATTTACCATCTGCATATTAGCAAAAGTACGAAACTACTACCGTACCTACAACAGTTCACGGTTTTATCGACACCGTTTGCCGAAGTTTGATTTTGCTGAAAAACCTTTTTCCAATTTTTATAGTTGATA